TTTTTTTTGTTGACAAATGATTCCCTCTATTGCAGGACTTCAAGTGATTAAATAGACAATCAACACTTGACAGTTACAAACACGTGATCACTACTCCTTAATATTTTTGCAAGACTCTTTGACACTTAATAAGAAACACTTGGTGGACATGATCTGTATAGACTAGATCAACTTCTAATCTAGAACAAAAAATTTCAACTTATTGGACCTCTGGTTTAATAGAGGAAACGCCAACCAACTGACCTAACAAGGATGATTGTAAATAAAATGAATTATCTAATATATAATATAAATCTTTTATCTATTCTCGACCAAAAAAAAAATTCTTCTCTACGGATCCAGCTAGGGCGGTCGCCCTAGCTCGCCACCCCCTAGATCCGCCCCCTTTTTCCTCTTCATTGCCTACTCTTATACCAAATTTTTTTGTTGACAAATGATTCCCTCTATTGCAAGACTTCAAGTGATTAAATAGACAATCAACACTTGGCAGTTACAAACATGTGATCACTACTCTTTAATATTTTTGCAAGACTCTTTGACACTTAATAAGAAACACTTGGTGGGCATGATCTGTATAGACTAGATCAACTTCTAATCTAGAACAAAAAATTTCAACTTATTGGACCTCTGGTTTAATAGAGGAAACGCCAACCAACTGACCTAACAAGGATGATTGTAAATAAAATGAATTATCTAATATATAATATAAATCTTTTATCTATTCTCGACCAAAAAAAAAATTCTTCTCTACGGATCCAGCTAGGGCGGTCGCCCTAGCTCGCCACCCCCTAGATTCGCCCCCTTTTTCCTCTTCATTGCCTACTCTTATACCAAATTTTTTTGTTGACAAATGATTCCCTCTATTGCAAGACTTCAAGTGATTAAATAGACAATCAACACTTGGCAGTTACAAACATGTGATCACTACTCTTTAATATTTTTACAAGACTCTTTGACACTTAATAAGAAACACTTGGTGGGCATGATCTGTATACACTAGATCAACTTCAAATCTAGAACAGAAAAATTCTTGTTGACAAATGATTCCCTCTATTACAGGACTAAGTGATTAAATAGACAATCAACACTTAGTAAGTGGGTTGGGCTTTTTTAATGATCATATAGTGGGTTGGGCCATGGACAGAACCTAAAGTAAGTGGGCTGTCTTTTTCAGATCACTAACAGATAAGACCTGTCCCCATTTCCATTGATGATGCACAGAATATAAATTGACTTATCTTTGAAAAAACAAACAAAAACATAAAGAAATCCCACTCTCATTACAAATTTTTTAATACTCTGTGGCTCCATTTTCCCTGTGATCTCTCTCTCTCTCTCTCTATCTCTCTCTAAAACAGTCTGTACTCTCTCCCCTCAACCACTGCCATGTCTTTCCGAGGAGGGGTCAGTTTCTTCTCTAGATCTAAAATTTCTTACTTGGTTAATCTTTGTTTGTACTGGAAAATTTTATCTTTTAATGATGTGTGAGAACTTCTGGGTTTTTATTTTTTCTTTCGATTCTATGTGTTATTAAGTGTTTCGTGGTTAAAGTTTCAGTTAAATCATAAATGTATTCATCATAGATCTTCATGATTTTAGTTTAGAATTTTCTGATTGATTGTTACTTTTGGTTTATTTTGCTTTTCTTTTCTTTTTAAAATAATTATGTTTTTATTGTTGCATGCTAGCTTTTAGTTTGAAATTAAAAAAACTGGTGCTTTTTCAACTGATTTTAATGCTATCTCTTTCTAATGTGAATTATTTTTTTGCCTATTTTTTGAATAGGATCTATTTGGTACTGGATTTTCCCCCGGCTCCAGATTAGACTGCCTCAGGCAGTGTAGAATAACTTTTTTTTTTTTTTTTTTTTTTTTTTGGGGTGCAGGGAGATGGCTGGGCCATTAGAGCGTTTTCAGATCGTTGGAAAAGGAATAAAGAAAGAAAATTGAGATTTGTTTTTTGTGAACCGGAACGATAAAATATCCTTACTTTGTTTCTGGGCTTGTGGATTACGGTTCTTATATAACATTGTATTTATTTTTATACATCCGTCTTGGTTCCTGAGAGGTTTGATGGAACTGCAAAGTCAAGCCTGCTAACTTGATTTCTTTAGTAGTTGCTCTAGTATTATCAGGCCGTCAAATTTAATGGGAGCTTTTCTAAGCATCGTTGTTTACATTTTTTGATCGATTTTTTTTTTCTGAGAATTGGTGACTTTTAAAAATAAATAAATGAATAAGTAATAAGAAAGCTACCGAATGTATATGTTTCACTGTTTAGAAACCATATATATGGAAGCCCTCCTGGAATGTACATTTATGTTATTTTTATTGAACTTGTGATTTTGCTTGGTGGTGTAAAAAGTTTTACAAGTGGTCTGTGGTTCCAGGCAAACGCGACATCTGGCATGGGCGTTGCTGATCACAGCAAAAGCACATACATGGAATTGCAAAGGAAGAAGGCACATCGCTATGTGATCTTTAAGATTGATGAGAAGAAAAAGGAGGTCGTTGTTGAAAAGATTGGTAGTCCAGCCGAGGGTTATGATGATTTCACTGCATCACTGCCTGAGAATGATTGCCGATATGCAGTTTATGACTTTGATTATGTGACTTCTGAGAACTGCCAAAAAAGCAAGATCTTTTTTATAGCATGGTCTCTCTCTCTCTCTCTCTCTCTCATCCTTGTTTTTATCTGAGGTTTAGAGGTTTTTGTTCCAGGAGCAACATGTGGTCGTACATTTTATTTTATGTCATGATATTTGATAGTGTGTTCTCAGTTGCTTAAATTGCACTTGCATGATAGCCGTTGTTTCCTAAACAGTGTTCTTCATCCCTTAACCCTCAGTTAGGTTAGGTCATAGGTGATAAGGATTATGCAAATACGCAAACACTGATACTTTATCCATGCTAATTGTGTCCTGTTTGCTTTAGGATTTCAACTTCTTGCAGAAGCTGATGTATCTCATGAATTGTTGTCATTGTATCATAATCACCATGCTCTTGGTCAAATCGTGTATACAAGTTTTAGAACCTACACGGACATATTACATTTTGGCTTTCTATAGAGTGCTTCTCTCTCCTCTGCCTGTGATCATAGGAACTATTTTCAATAGGCCCTCACCTGACCTGATCATCAGACCTCCTTCCCGAACAAAATACCAAGGGGAAGGGCGGTAGAAAGAAAGTTTTATACTAAGACAACATAATATAATATTAAATAATAAGATTTAGATTATTCATTACACTCACGTGACTCATAAAGTGAAGATGCTAAACGTGGCACCGATTTACGATTTAGGAAGTTGGGATATGTTGTGTGTAGACCTAAAGAGGCCTGTGCAATTTAAGGAAAGAATTAGAAGAAAGAGGGGTAGAGAACTGGCATTGGCCAATTGGATCTTCCAATAGTTCTAGTAGCGAATTGAATTGAATGACAGAAAAGGATTCACTTGGCCAACCTCCAAATCTATTGAGAACCTGACTTAGTTTTTTGTTTTGTTGTATTCATCTGACTCAATCAGTTAAAGAGGATGCACACATGATTGGCATTTTCGTTTCAGGTCTCCTTCTGTCTCTCGGATCCGTGCCAAGATGCTTTATGCCACCTCCAAGGAAAGGTTCAGGAGGGAGCTGCAAGGTATACATTATGAGATTCAGGCCACCGACCCAACTGAGATGGACCTTGAAGTAATCAAAGAGCGCGCTAATTAAATGTCTTTGTCTTGTGCAATGCAATGGTCTCTCGTCTTGGGCAAAAGTTCAATACTTCAGTATCAAAATAAACAAAAATGTCATCTATGAGGCAGTGTTTAAGCAATATTTGTTTCTGACACACATGTATGGCTTAATCAGGTATAAATAAATACTACACTGGGAAGGCTGATTTAGGAATTCTGACGTATATCCCAGATTGTGGGGATTATGCAATTCCTCATTCTCATGATGCTTCCCAGATGAAAAAACGTGTGGGATTATGGTTGTCAACATTTTATTTTTTCTTTCTCAAGCCTCCCTGCTACTTGATTTGAAGTTCCTGTACTTCTCCATGCGGAGCATTCTATCAACTAAAAATCGAGTACAGGTTTTTTGGGATAATGCCCTATGCTGCACGGGTTATCCATCTCATAACAGCAATATGGCTTAGTTTGTTGCTATTGTTCATAGAAGCAATATGGAACTTTTATTAGCGTACATGTTTCTGTGTAGTATATAAACACGAAGTTGATATCTAAAGATTTCTATGATAAGTTTAAGCAATAATTTGTCATCAGACACAGTAAAACAGGAACCATACTATGGTTAGAAGTAGATGATTCACTGTAGGTAGAGTCCAGTCAAGGGTCCCTTCAGTTGTTGAATTTCCAGTATGAAAGCATTCAAGATGAAACAAGGCGGAATCAAAACAGTAGAGAGGATACGATTAAGATTTACTGATAAAGTCGAGCCCAGAAAAAAATGGGATAGTCGTAATAATTCAGGGGACTTGAGATTGAAACCGTTCACTTTGATTAGAATCATTGGATTGATTTTGCATACATTAACATCAAACTTAGATACTTGTAGAGAGAATGCTAATCCATCTTAATGTGAATCTAAAGTGCATCAACATACATATATCTGTATCTTTGCCATTCAAAACTTGTAATTAACTAAATAGGAACTGTTCTAATTTCATTATCACCTTGTTGCCTCATTTCTGTACCATTCTCATCCTCATTCTCCCGTGACATTTCCTCCAGTGATTTACCATTCGACTCGGGCACCAAGAAAGTGAACAACATACCAAGGAAATTGACACAGCCAAGAACGATAAGCGCATTCCTAATACCAATACCGGGAGGGTATCCAGCATCGGTCTTTTTTGGATCAGTAGACTGAGCAGCATACAAAAATCCAAATGCTCCAATAATGGCTCCAGCCTTGCCAGCGGCTGCCGATATACCATGGCATGTGGACCTTAATCTTGCTGGGAAAATTTCAGCCGGGACAACAAATGTCGTGGCATTTGGCCCAAAATTGGAGAAGAAGAACGTGAGTGAGTACATAATCACAAATCCGATTCGGTTCTCTCTGTGTGTCCAGTGATTGTAAGGAAGAGCCAAGGCAAACATAAACACTGTCATGAAGAAAAATCCCATTAACTGAATTGCAAATCTTCCGATTTTATCAATGAATGCGACTGTAAACCAGTAGCCTGGTACAGTACTGCAGAGGGCAATAAGAGTTTGAGCCCTTGCAATTCGGTAAACTTCTTCGATCGCATTCATTGTTCTGGGAGGGGGAAGCCATCCAATTGCAGAGAAAATATCCTTCTGGAAAAGGTTCTGACTGTAGAAGGCAATGTCCAGCAAGAACCATGTACTTGTTGTTCCAAGCAAGTGAAGTCCATGGCGTCGAAGGAATTCCTTTGTAAACAAGCCGAAACCGTTCTCTTTCTCCTGTGTAATCCTCTCAACCTTTTCAGTTTCTACCTCGAGTTCAACTTGCAATACTTTGGACATATCAGAGGCGGCCTGTTTGGCATTCTTGGCAATCAATGCCGTATAACGTGCTGTTTCAGGCATCTTCATACGCCAGTAGTAAGTGAGTGCGGCTGGAAGTGCACCGAACATTACTATTATGCGCCAAACGTAATCAGCTTCAGGGACCGTTGAAGCAGAAGCATTGTCTTGATATGCAGGGGCAGGATATCCGGCCTTAAACGCTGCAGAAACGATGATTGCAACCATTCCACCAGCCAAAATTCCAAAACCTTGCATTGCAAAAACTGCAGCAATGAACGCTCCACGAGTCTTCTTATTGGCATACTCAGACATGATGGTGGCAGAGAGCGGATAGTCACCACCAATGCCAAAACCGAGCCAAAAACGGAAGAAGCAAAGTGTAGCCATAACAGCCTTCGGTTGATCTCCAAACGAAAGGGCAGAAGCAATTGAACATATGACCATAAGCATGAGGGTCATGCCATAGACCTTTTTCCTACCCAATTTATCACCAAGCCACCCGAAGAAAAGTTGGCCTGCAAGCGTACCACAGAGCGCAACGCCATTGACAGCAGCAGCCACATTTGGAGGCAAAGTGCCTGGATTTTTGGCTCCCTCTTGGTGGTAGTATATGCGGCCGAGCAATTTGGTTACCAGTGAAACGCAGAAGAGATCATAGGCATCAGTGAAAAATCCCATCCCAGCAATGATAATTGCAGTGAAGTGATACCATTGTGTTTTAGCCACATCAAGTGCATTGAGCACTTGTAATTGCTCCTTAGCCATGACTACTACTACCAATTCTTGTTAACTCCTAAACCCTGGAAACACGACATAGGAGAGAATTGTTAGTACAAACAAAGAAAATAGTTCTAATTTCAGCAATCTTAAATGTTATAGTAACAAGATTATTTAAGCTTAAATACTCAGCTAAACATAGCCCTTGTTTGGGCTCTATTTCAATTAGGTTTGGGAAGAATATATTTTTTAATAGTAATTTTTTGGAGAATATCCAGTTAAAAAGTATCCAAAAGTTTTTAAGTTTACATATAATATATTATATTGAAGGTTGTATGGTTAAAAAAAAGAGAGAAATACATTAAACAAAAATGAGCCCAAACCGGTGCATAATCCCAATTTTTAATCCTTGTTATTAGAGTTGGGATAAAGCTATTTTGCTAGAAGGATTTGACAAAAATTTTAACACAATCGCATATTCGAGTAGATGATTGAATGTAAAAACTGACTATATTTTAAAATTTCCAATGATATAATATATCGTGGTATTATATCAAGCTTTATATTAATCTTGATGTGCATAATTGTTAATTTGTTAGGGTTAAGAGCATTTATTGGAGAGTCAAACTCACTTTTTATAATTAAATACATTCAAAGTGTTTCAATTTTCAACTTAGGAAAATAATAAAATAATCTTAAAAAAAACTAGTTAAAATAAAAGATAAAGAAAAATAATAATTATTTTTGAAAGTAATAAAATTAAGTACTAAATATAAAGAGCTTGTTAAAGTATTTCAAAATTTTAACTCTCTAAATTTATAAATTATTTTCAAATGATAGAATATACTCTTTAAAAATAGAATCTTTTGGAGATGACTGTAAGGGTACATGTGAAACTTCTTAAAGACAAAATTGGTATTCAAAATTGGTGAACTAATAATTGGACCTTTGTCAGTCATGTATTAAATGTGGAATAAATGAATTCAACAAATTGTAAATTTAAAATCAATTTAATAATTAAGAAATGTAAGTAAAATTTATAGTTCCAACATAATTTGTGTGGATATAAAAATAAGTATTTTTTTATGGGACGGAGATAGTAAAATGTTAAACTTCCTTTTTTCATTGGATTAATATTGTTTGAAGTCTCCAATTCCACAAGGGAAAAATATCAAGGAAATATGAATATGACGGTTCAACAACGAAACATGTGCATGTGAGCCATAGGACTTGTGCTCAGAGTAGACAACGTAATATGTCTTGTGAACTTGGATTGATAAAGACATCTATCAGAAAAATACACAAGAAACACTTGGTCTGTAATTTCTTTGAAACTTCAAAGTAGAGTACCCTAAAACCAGTGGCTATCTAAAATACACTTATGGTTTTCTAAAGATTACGAAGTTTATCTAACTTCCCCAAGTCAAAGGGTACCATAGGACTTGTGCTCAAAGTAGACAACCTAATATTTCTTGTGAACCTGGAGTGGTAAAGACATGTAACAGAAAAATACACAAGAATCATTCATGTTACTAAAGTAAGTTTTAACATATGATTTCTCGGAAGATTTGCTAAAAGTTTGTTAAGACCCAAATCTTAATATAATTTTAAGATGAAACCTCAATTCTTAACAAAGTTCAGATTAGGGTAACTCTCATCTGTCTAAAATATGGTTTTCCAGAGATTATGAAGTATGTCTTTCTTAAGTCAAAGGAACCGTCCCAACCTTCTATTTGTAGAAACTAATCGCAGGCTTTTAATTTTGTAGCAAGTAAGGACGACAAAAAGAAAAGGAAACCAACCTAAAGTTGATGCTCCCAAAGTGAGAACTGTATAAATTTTGCGAGAAAGAAATAATCACTTATAACATGGGAAATGGGTGTACAGTACTTAAGTATTTGTATATGTATATATACTACACACCTCAGATTGACAGTATTCTGCAGAAATTCTGACAACTCCGCCTCCAAGAAGCTGTAGAGATATTTTCAGTGAAATAAGAAGTAAAATTCTCTCAGGATAAGGATTTGAGAGAAGTAAGTGGAGAGAGTTTGGAGGGAAATGAAGGGAAGATCGGCTATTTAACCCCAAGGGAACGTCTTGTGATCTTGGCACGCTTACATATGTGCCCACGATTATTATAAACTGATTTTTGGTCAACGGTGTATTTTGATCATTTTTTTATATATATAAATTGTGTAAATTAATCATACAGTGACTCCACAACTGGTCCCGTGTTTAAATTTTTAATAAGTTTTATGTACCGTTCTTTAAGAAAAATAAAGGGGAATTTACAAAAACGTCCAATCGTATGATTGTCAATTAATTTGTGTCTAATTTTGATAATTATTGTAAAAATGACCAAATTTAACATCAAAATCAAAATGTCTATTATACCTTTAACGAAGGAAAAAAAATGGTAGTATTTAAACAAAAAAATCATATTGATTGTGAGGTGATACTCACGCATTGTGTCACTTCATTCTTAAATAAATTTGATGGCAAGGAATTGAAGGTAGTTGGGTAGTGACTATTTCATCAATGGTGAGAATCGATTCTTTGCAACAATGGTGGTTTAATAAGATGATAAACACGTGTGATGAAGTGTAACAACACATCGTTCTTGACATTTCATATTTGATAATCTTAACACTTGACATTTCATCTTTCGGGAAGAGTTTTGGTTGATTGAAATTCATATGTTCTTTACATTTGTAAACTTGTTCTTAACATTTGATATCTGATATACTAGACACTTGACATTTCATCTTTTATGAACAAGGTTTGATTGATTGATTTTCATCTGT